AGACGCTAAAAGAATAAAAAAGTACGAAGGCGCACATAATTTATGACGTTTTGTGGTGTTACTAGGAGAAACCCGGAGATCTAATTCGTCACAACACAGAACGATTGCCAGCCATACCATCGGCCTAACACCAACAATAATAATAATACCATATACGATTTCAGGTTCCCGTGTTCCCGTGCTCCCGTATTCCTGCCTGCCTGGTTACCAGAGGACCGTAATTCCGTATTCCGGTTGGCCTGTTTGCCTAGTTGCTTGAGGAACGTGAACCGTATTCCTAATTGCCGGTTTATCAGTGGACATTCCTCCAAAGGAAACTACATTTCAGCTCATCAAGACTTGCCTAAAGCTGAGTGAAAGATTGTTCATTGAACATTGTGTGGTGTAATGATGATTCAGTAATTTTTGTTTTTGTTTGTTAATTTGAAAATCGTTGAATTCCATATCAGTATTTATCAATACAGTTGTTGTTTAAACTCCATTTATCGATTTCATCGTATCAAATTTACTTCTTAGGTAGACTAGAGATTGTTCTTCGTAATTTTAATTAAGTTAAATTTACAAAGTTTTGACTTTGGTTGTTTTCTGAATTTCTTTAGGAAATTTCCGGGGATTCACCCTATTCATTTAACTTTCTGTATTTTCCTTCCTTTATTTTCCAGAACTCAGGGACCGTTATAATTCCCCTAGACTTATTTAATTCGAGCCCTGTAAGTTATTTGGAAGGATATAGGGGATCTCCAGGCGACGATAGATTCCGCCAACAATAGTTGATTACACCCCCCACCCAAACAGGGCCATTGAAACTCAAATAGAAAGATAAATTCAGAAAGACACATTTTTAATTAGCACTGGTATTACACATAATCTTTCACCGGTGTCATACAACATAAGCCTCACAACGATAATCTCCTAATACTGAATGCAAATGGTTTTCTCTTCAGTGAAGAACTCTGTTGAATATTTGCCGCCCTCCCTGCCAATCCCTGAATCTTTCATTCCACCAAAAGGCAAGTTGAGGTCACGGACAAGCCAGCAGTTTACCCACACTGTTCCCGCCTAATGTGAGACACAACAAAATAAGTATAATAAATTACACATGGAGTTATGGGATCACCACTATTTACTGGTATCATGAGGATTAACACTTTCATTCAAGAAGCCACAAATCTGGTACTTCTAGTTTGACCTAATTTCCGGGAAATATCACTTTTCCGACTTGTCCGTTTAAGAGACACAGAGCTGATGGTACTGGTTGTTTTTTGCACCTGTGCAAAAGTTCAGGAGGTTATGAAATGACTGGATTAACTAAAAATAGCATTGGGGGATTCCCTTTGAGCCCAATAGCTTTTCTAAAAGTCAAGTTGAAGTCACATTTTCCTGTATCCTCAGTGGCAGAAGCCGACGTGGTCTAGTGGTTTAATGCTTGGCTGCAGATCAGAAAGTTGTGGATTGGGTTCCTGGTGAGGGCCAGATTTTTTTCAAAAATGACCTTGGCTCCCAGGTTGCCCCCCCCCCCCTCGCCCCCACCCCCTGAGTGGGTACCAGGTACAGTCCTGGGCAGTAAAGGCGGTCGGCGTGATGCTGACCACATCAGCCACCAAGTGCCGTTTGGTCTATAAAATACAGGTCTAGCCCGATATACCCAATATGCCTGAAAGGCATGGAAAAAGGCCATTTACTTTTTATTTCTTACTTTACTCAGTGACAGAGGTCCCGGCATTAGTCACCCAAGATGTATGTTTTTTGTTTTGTTGTTGTTGTTATAGTAATGTTCTCCATTGTTATTCGTACCTCGTAGTATCACAAGGTCTGTCCTATGTTGCAGGAGTGTCACTCTTAGTGACCGGCCAGCAACGAGTAGTATTTTACTTGTTGTTGTCCACGACTAGTGATATTGCATGCTCTATATTCAACGATGTGAGCGTTTTTAATTGTCCCAAAACATGTAGAACTGGCCCTAACCCCAAACTTCCTACCTCCTACCTTTTGCATCTCGCTAAAACTCCTTTTGCATAAAATACTAGCTTTATACTATTTTACATTAATCAGCATTTTATTCTTCTTCTTCTTCTTCATGTTCAGTGGCTGTAAACTATGGCAGATAGTTTGGATTTCCATCCACTACTGGACTCTGGTTTTTATCCAGAACTAAAGTTTTGAGTGCAAAATTGTTTTACAGATCTGGCTTATTTATATACAGACCTTTGTCTCTCAGACAGAAGCGCTCTGACTTTGAAATGAAATACCCCTAATTAGTCACCTTTTATGACATGATCGTTAAGGTGGAAGAGGGTCTAGTGGCAGTGGGTCTAGTGGCAGTGTGTCTAGTGGCTGTGTGTCTAGTGGCAGAGAGTCTAGTGGCAGCGGGTCCAGTGGCAGTGAGTCTAGTGGCAGTGTGTCTAGTGGTAGAGAGTCTAGTGGCAGTGTGTCTAGTGGCAGAGAGTCTAGTGGCAGTGAGTCTAGTGGCAGTGTGTCTAGTGGCAGAGAGTCTAGTGGCAGTGAGTCTAGTGGCAGTGTGTCTAGTGGCAGTGTGTCTAGTGGCAGAGAGTCTAGTGGCAGAGAGTCTAGTGGCAGTGTGTCTAGTGGCAGTGAGTCTAGTGGCAGTGAGTCTAGTGGCAGTGTGTCTAGTGGCAGTGTGTCTAGTGGCAGTGTGTCTAGTGGCAGTGTGTCTAGTGGCAGTGAGTCTAGTGGCAGTGTGTCTAGTGGCAGAGAGTCTAGTGGCAGTGAGTCTAGTGGCAGTGAGTCTAGTGGCAGTGAGTCTAGTGGCAGTGAGTCTAGTGGCAGAGAGTCTAGTGGCAGTGGATCTAGTAGCAGTGGGTCTAGTGGCAGTGGGTCTAGTGGCAGAGAGTCTAGTGGCAGTGGGTCTAGTGGCAGAGAGTCTAGTGGCAGAGAGTCTAGTGGCAGTGGGTCTAGTGGCAGTGGGTCTAGTGGCAGTGGGTTTAGTGGCAGAGAGTCTAGTGGCAGAGAGTCTAGTGGCAGTGGGTCTAGTAGCAGTGGGTCCAGTGGCAGTGGGTCTAGTGGCAGAGAGTCTAGTGGCAGTGGGTCTAGTGGCAGTGGGTCTATTCTTTGTTCTCCAAAATGCATCCTACGAACCCGCACAGGCAGAGTGCTAAGATATCAGTTCTTGACTCATAATAAAAACCTTCCACCGCAGGAAATTACTTTCATTTACATCCCCCACACATGTGCACATACACTTTAATGCTTTCAACTATAACATTTTTTGAGAAAGTCTAACCTCAAGTTTAGGAGCAATTCTATGTACCCTGGAGACATTTTCTGTCCACACAGTGGCACACAGACCATACCTCACACTGTTCGCTCGTCTGATAACCTGGACAAAGAAATTGAATTGTGTGAGAATTAAAGTGCAGTCTGAAATATTTTAAAATAAAAAAATTAATAAATTTAAAAACAAAAAAGTATAGGACCTTTTTTACTCTCGTGTTACATTCAGGCATATGATGCTAGAGCCATACTTTTATAGACCAGTCAGCACTGGACGGGTGATGGAGTCACCATCACGCTGGTAGGTTTTACTTTCTAGAACATTTCCTGGTACTTATGACAGGTACCGGCAGTCCATGTGTTTGTGTGGGTGTGTGAATATAATGTATCAAGAAAAGATATAAAACCGAACGAAAAGAATATTAGCAGGCTTCACAATATAACAAATAACAAATACAAACAAAACATGAATGTTGAGGCTCATAGCCTTCATCAGCACATACATAAATCAAACATTACTACACAAATACACAAAATCACTAGCTTGTATCTTGAAGCAGCCGAGTCGATGACTTCTCAGCAGACTGCCAAAACATGTGGGCCAGGGGAATAAATACCCTCAGGGGCAAGTGTAGAGCAATGAGTGTAGCAGTAAGACCAGACAAGAGTTGACGAGCAAACATTGGACCACAACCTTAATGTAAATAAACCACTGACACGAGACTGGTAAGCTTCGCTAGACAGGAGGGGGTCTCAGTGGCGAAGTGGGCAAGATGTCTGCCTCATACTCTGAAAGTTCCAAGTTCATTTCATGACTGAGCCATTCAGTTCACGAGTGGAGATTCGTGAGGATCAACGCCAGAGCTAGGGGGTTTGTGCTTTGTGTGACACTCTTGGCAGGTGGCTAGCCATTCTAAGGAGAGAGTTTGAGCCATATGGGATAAAATCCAGTGCACTTGAGCTGATTCTCTCAACTTTAACTTTTAACTAGAAAGGATACAGAGAAAACGGTCAAAGCTAGCAATACCATCGTGAAAAAAAGGAAAAGACGTTACAAGTCAGAAATCAAGTGCTGTTTTGATAGTAAAGAATGTGACAGTGATTTTATAGAAAGTTACAGTGACTTGATAGTGGCATGCTGTTTAAGCTTTTATCTTTTGTGTAGCAGTCACGCTGTGCTAGTTGCTAATGTCTTATGCCAATGGTAACTTTCTCTAAGTGGCTAGCATGGCAGTATTTGAATGGTCAGTTGTCCAGTAGTTCAGAGGTTGTCAGGTGAGGTGCCCAACAGGGAAACAGGCAGCAATGTTGTACAGGGCATACCAATAATTCCTGTAGGTCTCAGGGGTCTAACTGGAGCCACGGTAGGTGCAGAAGAGGGTAAGGTGGTCACCCAGGCCCAGAAGGCTGAAAAGAACCGTGAATCCCAGAAAAAGAGGATCGTGAATATAAAGGATTCTAGGGGTGGTTTGGCTAGGATTGACAGCGTGACCCCTCTTCCCTCCCCCCTTCCCCAACACCGGTTGTGCTGTACCTGTGATTGCCAATAATGTACTATTTTCAGAACTCTACGAAGGTGTGTGAGTTGATGATATTAAAAGTTAACCATTAGAACAATTGTAATTTCATAGATTATCCTGAGATAAAAGTTACAGCAAAAGTCATAGAAAGAAAATAGTCAAAGATCCTTGACCAAAACAGAACGTTCCTCATCCCACAATTTGTTGCTATTGCTTGAGTTTCTCTTTAGAAAAAAAAAAAAAAAAGGTAAAGTCGGGAGATGTGACCCAGCGTCACTGCACACGGTTATAAACCATAAGTGCTCTGCAACCAGAAGGGACAGCTGATAAGAAACTGTCCACCTGTGTCGCCCTCCACATGTAACTCCATAGCTAGAGCAACGTTCCTCCATTTACCCCAGAGTAATAAGTCTGGTACCCATTACCTAGATGCTGAGAGAACCCCGGAAACTGCCCAGTTTTAAACACCGGCCGTGGGCTGCAACGAGTCACAGCTGGATTTGGAAGCAAGTCTCCTATCGACAGCATTAACACCGCCCCCTTCTTTTAAAAAAAATAATTATTCAAGTCTGTTACCAACAACAACAAAAATATTGAAATTTATGCATTATTGATGACAAGTCTTTGGACTTTGGCCACTAAGCCTATATCAGCTTCGGCACTCTAACTGCACTGAGTGACCTTAAACCCCAAGAGAACCGCACAACAAGCGATAAACACCCGGTGACACAAAATGCTACCATTTGAATGAAAATCACCCAGGCGCAAGTCCCAGAAACCCTGTTAACTCTTTCAGGCCCATGAATTCTGACAGACTTGGCCCACAGTAATTTCCCTTCAAAAAAATGGCAAAGGGGATGATGTACAAAAAAGACAATAGAAAATGTAATATATGTCTAAGCCCTACAAAAGTTTTTTTTTTTTAAAGAGAAATGAATGTACATTTTGAATATGATGATAAGTGTATGTTTAATACTGTTATAGTTAGTAGGAAAGAAGAATTCAGCAGGTGTTTATTTCACATCATAATTTCACCAAAAAAATTCTTCACTCGCCATGGTTTTGCAGCCACAAGAGCTGTGAATATCCAAATCTAAGAATAACACTTTAAAGTCTGTTCAATTTTCTTACAAATTCCAAAGTTATGAAAAGTTTCCGGGTTAGTTTAGCTTAAACCACAATTGTAGACCACAAGATAGACTAAGAAGACGAAGGAGAGATAATTTCCAGACAGACATGCAAACACTTGGTGTTAACAGCTGGAAAGAGAACGTCAACCAGAGAGATGAGTGGAGGCAGGTGATATCTGCAGCAGTGAAACTTTAGGGCTCGGAATGCTGAAGAAGAAGAAGTTTCTCAAAATTAATCAACAAGGGTCTAATAATAACAACCATACTGAACATTACTAGTTAAACCCACAATTTTGACAAAGTGTATCAATGTAGCAACCAGAACAGGCACAAGGAGTTGGCAATGGAAAATAAATCATCCATGGAATTAATGAATGAATCAATTAGGAACTGACCCTCACTGCACTCTGGACATTTCCACACGTGCTTTGTCCCCCCCTTCAGCAACCAACCAACAATGAGCTGGTGATGTGGAAGAGTTCACATCCCTGGAGCTTTCAGTAAATCCACGTAATTTTATAAAAGTAAAGGACCCTTTTCTATGCCTTTAGACGTATAGGGCAAATAGGGCTAGACCTATTTTTTTTTATGTAAGCGATCGGCGCAAGATGAGTGATGTGGTCAGCATCACACCAGCTACTTTTACTTCCCAGGACTGCACCCGGTACCTACTCAAGGCTTGGTTTACCTTGGCAGCCAAGGTCATTTTTGAAAAAAGTCCGGCACCGCCAGGGAGTGAACCCACAACCTTCCGATCCGCAGGCGAGCGTCTAGCCGCTTCACCATGGCGACTCCCAGTAAATCTACTTAATGGAAGTTAAATGAAGGTAAGTTAATCTACTACTCACCTCTTGCTCATCATCAAAGGCAACTACACAAGTAACAGGTCCAAATATTTCCTCTGTCATAACTGGATCTTCATCAGGAACATCAGTGACCACTGTGGGACGCACAAAGTAGCCCTGAAGTGGACATATGCAAATTTGTGTTAATACACTATCAACTCTTTCAGTATCAAGCAGCTGACTAAAGGTTCACTAATTACTCTATAAATGGTATACAACTTACAAAAAAGTTACTGGTTGATAAACTGTGCAGTTAGAAATTATTCAAGGACATGCCCAGAAAGCAGTTAAAGGCTTTAATTGCTCAAACATGAATAGATAAGATAAGAGGACATTACAATCAGAACATGTGAGATGAGATGTATAAGAAATGTGGAGGGGGGGGGGGGGGGGGGGGAAGGAAGAGACAGGGTCACCAACAAATCACTAAGAAAAATGGTAGGCACAGTTATGGTAAATGATTTAATTAAATGTAAAAAAATAAAACTGTTTTGTCATCTGGTCAGAATGGAACAAAATCAGCCAGCACCTAGAGCGGTGTACGTGAGAACAGCAGGCTACAAGGCAAGAGACTGACCAAAAGATGGGTGGAGGCAGTTAAAGAGACACTGGAGAAGTGCAGTATGACAATTACACAAGCTACCCAAATAGCAGCAGTAAAAGAGACTCTGGAGAAGTACAGTATGACATTTACACAAGCTATGCAACTAGCAGAAGTAAAAGAGACACTGGAGAAATGCAGTATGACATTTACACAAACTATACAACTAGCAGAAGTAAAAGAGACACTAGAGAAGTGCGGTATGACATTTACACAAGCTATGCAACTAGCAGAAGTAAAAGAGACACTAGAGAAGTGCAGTATGACATTTACACAAGCTATGCAACTAGCAGAAGTAAAAGAGACACTGCAGAGATGCAATATGACATTTACACAAGCTATGCAACTAGCAGCAGTAAAAGAGACACTGCAAAAGTGCAATATGACATTTACACAAGCTATGCAACTGGCAGCAGTAAAAGAGACACTGCAGAGATGCAATATGACATTTACACAAGCTATGCAACTAGCAGCAGTAAAAGAGACACTGCAAAAGTGCAATATGACATTTACACAAGCTATGCAACTGGCAGCAGTAAAAGAGACACTGCAGAGATGCAATATGACATTTACACAAGCTATGCAACTAGCAGCAGTAAAAGAGACACTGCAGAGATGCAATATGACATTTACACAAGCTATGCAACTAGCAGCAGTAAAAGAGACACTGCAGAGATGCAATATGACATTTACACAAGCTATGCAACTGGCAGCAGTAAAAGAGACACTGCAGAGATGCAATATGACATTTACACAAGCTATGCAACTAGCAACAGTAAAAGAGACACTGCAGAAGTGCAGTGTGACATTTACACAAGCTATGCAACTAGCAGGAGTAAAAGAGACACTGCAGAAGTGCAATATGACATTTACACAAGCTATGCAACTAGCAGCAGTAAAAGAGACACTGCAAAAGCGTAATATGACATTTACACAAACAATGCAACTAGCAGCAGTAAAAGAGACACTGCAGAAGTGCAATATGACATTTACACATGCTATTAAAAAAATACCAGAAATATCTAACTCCTCTTTTTGATGCCTTACAGCATAAGCAGTTGGACAAAAGAAGAAGGCAGAAGAAGACTTATTTTCTCCTAGTTAATTTGTTGAGGTTCCAACATACTGCAGACGGGTTGTCCCATAACTGCTCCGTTACTGTGTCAGTGGAAACCTCACAAAATGTCCTTCACTGTCCCATTTCAAACCTAGTGAAATATACTCATCAGCCCCAGCAAAAACTTAAAGCTTGCACATGCAAAGTAACAAATGCATAAGCTGGCTGTCAAATGTACCAACACTAATGGTCCCACACAGTCACTCCATGATCTCAATTTTGTTTAAACGCATTCATTGCTATGAAAATATTTTGCCGTTTGTCCATGAGAGTCCATGGCTAAAGCGTTGCAAGTCTGACACGTAATTTCAACGTACTGCGATCAAAACCCACTGCTGGCTGCGTGGGTTTTTATCGTGGTATCGGGCATCGCAGATGGACCAGGTCTCAAATGGGTACCAGGATGTATGGCCTGGGGAAGTACAGACAGCCGGTGAAATGCTAACCACATTATCCACCTAGTGCTGATTGGCCTGTAAAAATATAGGTGTTCTTCTCATATGGCCGATGCGCCTAAAGGCACAAAAAAGGATCTTTATTTCTGTTTAACCATAGACAGCTAAACACGTCTTTGAACGTTCTCCATTTTTTTTTGCCCTCACTACCATGGGTGTAAAAACATGTTTTTGACTTTCCTGACAGACTTCTAAGGACAGTATTCTCGTTGGTCAAATGGCCATACACATAAGCCCTTTTAAAATGATTAAACACTCTGTAACGTGTATTTATGTGTATTTAGGCCTGTTCCACACTATCCTGTTGCTTTGTTTATCACAGAAGCATGCCCGGATTGCTAGCGTAGTTGGCTAAACCGGACTACTCTGTGACTCGGTGACGAACTCCTTGTGGTCTGGGTTCATGCCCGGGGGTAGAAAGAAAAGCCAAATTTCTCCCAGTTTACGGTATCTATCATGGAATCAAGGCCAAAGAGTTGCGATATCCATAGTACCGAGCCAAAGGGTTAACAACTAATGGTTTCTGGATACTTAAAGAAAATTTTTAACAAAATCACAGAAGCATGGTCGGTGAGGTGTCTACTTTTTGCAATTAAATATATGGCTCTGCATAAGTCTACATTTTTTAAATACAAAATGGCAAGAAAACTGGTTAAAGTTGATGAAGAATTAATTAAGTTTCTTTCAAGGAGTGATAGTAAGGATGACTTTGAAATGTCTGACTTATGAGTTTGGTTATCATCATGGCACGCCAGCAGCCATGTGTACTTCTGGCCATAAGCAAGACTATCTGACCCAGCCATCAACATCAATGGGATTTGAAATGGATCCTCACTTATCAGCAAGGGGATATAGCACCATACTGGCATGATGATTAAAATATATTAATTATCTATACCATAAGAAAAAGAAGTAAATATCCCTCTTCACGCCTTTAGGTGTATCGGGTATAAGGGAAGAGCGCCCATATTTTTACAGACCAATCGGCACTAGGTGGCTAATGTGGTCAGCATTAGGCCAGTATCTATACTATAAAACAAATAATTCATGTGACTATTGGTCATACTATACAATACTGTCTTATTTTCATTTGTTACTATTATGTGATATTCTATTAAAGAGGTTATCACATCTGCCTTACAATCCGAAAGGCCTGCGTTCAACCCCACTGGATGTTTTTTTTTTATTGTACATTTTCAGTTTCAGTTCTTAGCCCTTTCAGCAATGGATGACCCAAGTATTATATTTTTTTTTAGTAATAACACTGTGACTACAATTAATTATAGTTAAAAAAAGGAAACTGCTGTAGATCTTTGGATCAAATTTGGGAGGTGGGAGCTGCCAACAGTCTAAATTGTAACCCTGAGTCACGGTTTGGGGTGGAGCACTAGGGTCTTCCTAGATCAGTTCTTCCCACTGATTCCCCCAACCCTCGCTGGGGGCTAGGGGACAGTAGATTCGCCAGTCAAGATTGTGGGCCAGTGGAAAGGGCTCCAGAGCAGTAAGAGATTCAGATGCACTTAGTAGCAGTGACTAAACATATGGCAGTATCTCCCTACTCTATGTGTTTTTTTGGGTGTGCCTTTACTTATATGCCGCTGTGGGTTCCAGTGTAAAGACATTCTAGTTATTTTGTTCTCAAGTTCTCTCAACATGGTCCTATCCAATAATACTGCTAGTTCCTCTGCCTTAAGCATATTCATGGCCAAGGTTTCTTTATGTATACTGACTTAGGTCCTATGCTCCAATAAGAGTTAAGAAGAGGATGAGCAAGAAGAAAAAGAAGAAGAAAAAGCAGCAGAGCCAGAGGAGAAGAATTACTATATTACACATAATGAATTATGTTCAACCCCATCAGGACAGCACAATGAGCGATAAACACCTGGTGCCACCCTTCAGATAAGAATCACCCAGGCACAAATCCCAGAAACCCTTTTCAAACAATTGATTATATTAGGGCCCGAGACAAAAGCCGGAATGGGGCTTTAAAATAACCAAAAATTGTAGCCCATATCAGGATGGGAATGCTATAAGATGTAAAGCTAGGTAAGTTGTACCCCACCATGACATCACACAAGCGATAAACACCCGGTGACATGCAGATGAGGATTACCCATGGAAAGGTCCTGGAAACCCTGTTCAGCCATTAGGCCATATTTTAGAGCTGGCTATATTTAGGGTGATGATTAGAATGTAAGATGTAAAAAAAATAGGCATAATTATTGGACATGTAAAATTAACAGACATATGCAGTATAATTACAACATTAAATGCAAAATGACCATATAAACTAAATGTATTATATCAAATCACAAGTAAAATACCAGATACTTTACATATGTTATCTCACTGCATGTACATCTCACTGCATATACATAAAGGTTAAATTCAGTGGGCAGAACATGGTTACAGTTAACTTACATTCTGACACCGATCTGGCAGATTAAGGGGCACCACTCCATGCCCACATTTGATTGTGGCCCCTGTAGCTTTAGCATTCTCTATGTATCTCACAATTTTATCTCTGTGCTGCTTGCTTATCACGGCCCCACAAAATGTGTCAGCATCTTTGGGGTCACCAACTTTGAGAGCTCTGTGGTAAAGATGAGAAGAAATTCCACTGAAAATGTCTCAGTAAGCATTCAATTATTTATAAACAGCTTCTAGCAGCCATCTTGGTTTAGTGACTAGCATGAATGATGGTTGGCCTGGTGGGCACAGAGGTATTTTTGTTCACCTTTTTGCCCGATAAGCCATAAAACTGACACTTCTGCTTGGTACCATTTCCCTGGAGCACCTGCTTTCCCAACTTGTTTGAGAGAGATATTTATGTGACATCTGGCTAAAAGAATTAATTGCATCTGCATATGCCCAAATGTTCAGTGTGACGAAAGGATGACTAAATTTGCTATTTAGTGGAGTTTGCTTCCTTTTTTTTTAAATGCCTTAATTTATAGAAATTCCAATGTCATATTTTCTAAAGACCATAAAAGTTACCAGGCAACCAGGTCATAGGTTCAAGTAAGTGTCATGCTTCTGGTTCTGCGCCAATGGGTGGTGAATGTATGTATATAGGACAAGCTAGATACGGTCAAGACCCTTTTGGGAGCAAGTGGGTCATGCAGAGGCATGAACAGATCATTATGGTCTGGAGAGAAGGGTAGAGCTAGGAGTGATATGGGGATCTGATCAACATTCTACATTCAGAGGAAAGGCAAGGCAGACAACAATCCAACTGCTACCATCCGAATTGTAACTCTTTGCTGGCTGCTGAAGATGAGGTCAGAGCACTTATGGGAATGTCAAGATTGCTATGATGTCAGTTATTAGCTAAACACGTAAATTACTTAGCAGTCTGGAAGAGAGAAAAGATAAGACGGATAATATCAGCTACAGCTGAGAGGTACAGGGAAGGGTACACCTCTTCTTCTTTTCTCTACTCCTGGAATGTCTCATGCCATCAGGACAGGAAGAGATCTCTGGAATGGGCCCTTCTGTTCACTTCATATAAAATACTTTTCAGTGTCTCTGATATTTCTGCAGTCCATATTCTGCATGGTCGACCTCTGGCTCTGTTACCATTGTATCTGTATAGCTGTCATGAGTCAACTTTACCACACACTGTGAGAGAAAGACAAACAACGACTGGACTGACTCATAACATCAGTCAGGTCAATTATTGGTCAGACGGGTTGTGTGTGGACCCGCACGGCGATACGGGTAACTGAGTGGGGAGGTTACAGGGGGACTGGACAAAAAGGTAGAGCGACACACGACAGTTAGTAGTTGGATAGTCCAGTGAATGGATGTGTTTGTTTGGTGCCCTTTTAAAAGGTGGGAATTGTTTTTCGCTTGGAATGGACTGGATTTAAAACTGTGGACAGAACAGTAGTGGTTATTCATACTGGTGTCAAGTGTTTCTGTTGTATAGCCGGATTATAAAGTTAAGTGTGGTAGCCAGGAGGATACGTAATTATTGCTATGGAAGCATCCTCAGCCTCTCATGACTTTGTTCATATTGTAAGGATGATTTGTGATCAGCTATACCAGCGTACTGTTGATGTATTTAGTTAGTGACTACCTGGGATTAGTGTGCTTGTGAACCATAAGAATAAAATTGGTGGCTACTCAGTAGTCGATAACGTTGTGTGGAAGCCATACTATCTTTGCAATTATCATGAGTTCTTAAATAAACGTTATTTAAGAACTGGAACAAGGTCATCAGCGTTTACATGTTCATGGAAGTGTGGGTACACCTGGCACAAATAACAATTGTACTTGTGTCACACCTATAAAAGGTGTCTGACAATAGCATTGCTCTCTGTGGTGACTTGACTGATGCCAGTCTTGTTACATGGCCAAACCATTTGATTTGTTGTCTACCTATAAAGTTCAGTATTGGTTCTGCGCCAACTAGTCTCCTTAAATCATGCTTCCTAAGTCGATCAATCTTCGTTGCATCTAGCATAGTACGTAGACATTTCATTTCTGTTGTGACTATTTTCCTTCTGTCTTCTGAAAACTGTGTCCATGTTTGACACTGATAGCATAGCGTTGGTAAGAATACTGTGTTGAACAGTGTTATTTTAGTGTTCACAATCACACACTTGCATTTCAAAATTGGTGCCATTTGGCCTAAAACTTTGTTGTTTTTGGCATATCTGTTGCAGAGAGAGGTAAATGACAATAATTAGAGGAGATGGCTAATTTGGTGAGTAAAATAAGCGGATGGAAGAATGTGAGAAGAATTTCATGAGATTTTTTTGTATTTTTGAGGAGCATATGGCTGAGCAATTAAGATGCTGGACTCTCATTTGGGAGACTTGGATTCAAATCCTTGATAAGGCGGTTAGAATCTTTCTATTGGAGGCAACAATACATTTCTAACCTAGTTCATGCACTAGCCACCCAGTTGTAAATCTACCCGTGTGGGTCCCATAGTGGGTGAAGAAAGAATAGATCCACTCCCCCCCCCCCCCCCTTTCCCCGAACAAGAATGTCATTAAAGTTGACTAGGGTGTTTCTTTCTAAAAGGAATATATTAATAAAGTAACAGAAAATGTATTGATCGGCACTCACAGAAAGAAGCAGAAAGAAGAACACACTAGACAACATAAAAATCGAAAGCTATAGTTACCGTGCCGGGAATTGAACCTGTCACCTCCAAATGGCGTGTGCGCCTAGCCATGGAAAAAGTGGACTAAGAACATTGTCAACTAGGCACCACCCCCAACCCCCCCCCCCTTCCCCCACCCCCCACATACACAAAAGTTGTCTTATTGGTTATGTCTATCATACAGCTTTAAATCCACAACTTTTGAATACAGACAGAATTAATTTCAAACCATTGAAATGGCACCATAGGTTACAGCAATTTATATTAACAAGGCATAGGTCGAGTAACAAGCACAGTAACAATTTACGAACACAGTAGACCTTAATGCTTTGTCTAAAAGTCAGAGTGCATCTGCCAGAGAGGGGAGGAAAAAGCCCAGAAGTAGGCAAGCACCCACAACTTTCCGCTGGAGTTTGCAGCTAGTGAACACTAAGATCAAGAATAAGAGGAATCCACTGACTAAAATGACCCCACCACTTTAAGCCCTACATCACTATTAAAAAGTTTTGGTTATATGGTGCTAAGGCCATATTTGTATAATTATCGGCACAATACGAAATCATGAAATCAGGTGAATGCTAGGAATAAAGCCAGTCTTACAAGTCATCAAAACAAAACAAAAAAGAATGAAGTGGTTTGGACACCTAACAAGAATGCCCTGGTACTATCTGCTACAGCGAGCCACACTAAAGCGTTACAATGGGTAGAGAGCGAGTGGAAGACCTAAAAAAATATGGAGTGATGGCATTAAGAACAGCCTTACAGAAATAAACATCAGTCTAAATAGTGCTCTAGACAGAGCTCATCAACGAATGTTACATCTCCCCCCGACACTTCGCTGAGGTACAAGGTGGAAGAGAAGAAGAAGAAGAAAAAGGGGTGGTGTCAATATCATGCCAGTATTCAGTTATTGGGACATTTCCTGGAGCCCATTTTAGGCTGGGTGGTTCTGGGATGCCAAATAATATTTATTATTCTTGTTCATGTGCACCAGCTGTAAACTCCAGCAGAAGGTTCTGGCTGCCGTCCCCTTGTCCACTTCAGGTCTTGTTTCAGAATGTGAGGTTTGTATGCACGTCCATTTTACTGATCTGGTTTATTTGTATGCAGACTGTTGGTTCCTCAGATCTCAAGCAGATGTCCAGCTTGGAGGTAAACACCCCTAATTCATCATTTTTTTTTAACAATATTCTTGTTAGAGGGGAAGTGGGTTTATTCTTCTTTATCCATTAATCCACATAGAAAAGGACATTTTTTTTTTAAATCTGGAGAGATTTAAACCTATGGCCATGCCACCAGTCTGGTAGGCAAGCATGTTAGCCACTGCACTATCTCAGCTCCCAGGTGTGACCAAATTGTATTCTGCACCTAGGTTAAATAAATTATACCAATACATTTAGCTTCTAACAGTATCTAACTACTGACTTGGTCTTGGTGATGAAGGCTTCGAGAAACTTCTCAAAGATGCCTCTCTGAACAAATATACGACTGGTACACAGGCAGACTTCACCCTGGTTCATAAAACTGGACCTGTAATGACACAGTATACACAAGTGGTACAATACACAATGGAGACAACCTGTAATGACACAATTTAAATGATCTGAGATGAAACAGTATATACAAATGGTACAATTCACAATGTAATAAAGTAAAGGACCCTTTCCACGCCTTTAGGCAAATAGGGCATATAGGGCTAGACCTATATTTTTATAGACCAACGGCACAAGATGGGTGATGTGGTCAGCATCACGCCGGCCGCCTCTACTTCCCGGGATTGCACCCGGTACCCACTCAAGGCTAGGTCCGACCTGGGAGCCAAGGTCACCGTCTCCCGCCAGGGAGCGAACCCACGACCTTCCGATCCGCGGCGAGCGTCTAGCCGCTCGGCCACGGCGACTCCCTATTCACAATTTAGAAACCTGTAATGACGCAATCTAAATGATCTGTAATGACACAGTATAAACAACTGGTACAATATATAAACAGTATATAAACAGTACAATACACAATATAGACAACCTGTAATGACACAATCTAAATGATCTGTAATGACACAGTATAAACAAGTGGTACAATATACAATTTAGAAACTTGAAATGACACAATCTAAATGATCTGTGATGAAACAGTATAAACAACTGGTACAATACACAATATAGACAACCTGTAATGACACAGTATACACAAACGGTACAATACACAATTTAGAAACCTGTAATGACAGAATTTAAATTATCTGTGATGAAACAGTATATACAAATGGTACAATTCACAATGTAGACAACCTGTAATGACACAATCTAAATGATCTGTAATGACACAGTATAAACAACTGGTACAATATACAATTTAGAAACCTGTAATGACACAATGTAAACAATTTGTAAGAACACAATTTTAAATGACATTTTGCTGGAGTATTTGACTGGTTTATTCTCAGAATGACAATCTAGTCATTTTCTAAACGGGGGAACTGAACCCTAAGTAAGCAAATGTTACTGTGTTTTGAAAGAGGTGAGGGCTCAAAGACAACTCATAAAAAACATCAGAAATAAATAGACATCATCTTTTGGTCATGTTATGAGAAAGGGAAACTAAAACATTTTGTGACCACTGAAAGATGTGTAGACAAATTGACAGAGGAAGACAATGCAGGATGATTCTTGACAGCCTTCTGTTATGGCATGTCAACATATGAAGTGGTAAATGCTGTTGAAGATCGCAGGCTGTGGAGAGGCATGATCGCCCATGCCAGTCAGCAAGGCACTTTATGATGACGAAGAAGTAAGTTAGTTATAATAACAGATGCTGTATATTCAAAATGGCAGCTGTAGTAGGTCAGCAGCTAGCAGAATTACAAACTGGTCTGAGGTCATATGACTAAATTTTCAAATGATTTTATTTTTAAATTTGCCTGCTTACTGTTAATGCAAAATCACCACTTGTGAGATGAGATGCCGGAGAAAAAGCTTCTACCTGACCATGTGAGAACTAGTGACTATTTATGGGAACAACATCTTGTACTAGATTCATCAAGAAACTGCAGATCAAGTGGTGTGGCCATTTCATTAGAATGCTGCAACATCAAATACCATCTGAGGCATTACATCTTCAAAGATCAGCTACAACAGCAAGAGGGCAGCAACAACAACAACAAAAATAAGGATTGACAACATTAAAGAAACTTTTTTACTTTCACGGCATGTCAATTTCCAGTGCCAGTCAGCATGCAATGGATCAACAATATATTCCTCCCCACAATGCTTGACAGCAGAAGTGGTTTATAATGAGGACCTGATGTCCCATGTCAACCTAGTCAACACAGGTACCAGGAAATGTTCTGTAATGTAAAGGTGGGCAGCATGATATTCAAAACAATGCCCACTGAATGGTTATCAGTGCCTTAAAACTATGAGACTGACTCAGAAAGCATGCTGAGGAAGGTCAGGACAGGCATGCTTCGTGCAGAGTGGCATGCCTCACTACAGAAGACATGGGTGAAGGAGTATTGTCTGGATTTTTTCACCAGGGAATGCCAGTGTGTTGGGAAATGAACAGACGGACAGACTGGCTGGCTCTGCACAGCTTGGTGGAATACTGATGCATGATAAGGCAGACGTGGTTAGTGCCTTGTGGGTAAGCGTGTACAGTGTGGAGGAGCAGATTGATCATCACAGTGTGAAGAGACTGATGCAGTTGGGAGTGACGAGAGGTTCTGGCAGATGCTCGAGGCTCAGAGGAAAGGCAAGACGGACGTTTAATCAGAATGATACTGGCACCATTAGTATTGGAACTCTTCGCTGGCTGCTGAAGATGGGGATGGAGCGCTTATGGGAATGCCCTGAGTGCTGTGATGTCGGTTCTTGAATCAAATCAAATCAAATCGATCAAATTCACACACAAATATATTCTGTATGCCATGGAAACTGGTCCATTTACATTATTATTAGCCAATCTGCAATACAGAGATACTAAACAGTTAAGACTTGCTTTAAAAACTATACAAAATGTTACCTGACTGTTGTGTCCACACACTTCTCCAAGTTACAATCGTCAAAAACAATGGCAGGATTTTTGCCTCCCAACTACAATTAAAAATAAAATAATGAACACTTTTAAAACTGACTGCATACACAGGATTTTCAAAAAGTACACTATACATCACTATACACCACCATCATCTTTATCTGCCATGTCTAACGACGTAGGCGCTCATATCTCTCTTCACAGACCTCGGTTCTTTGTCATTTTCATCAATTCCACTAATGATATTCCATTTTGCTTTTACTTCAGGCTGTCAAGCATTGTTTTTTTTTGGTCTGCCTCTACCTCTTCTATGGCTTATCTTTCCAGTCAATACAATGTTCTCCAATACCTCTCTTCTTATCACATGACTGAAGAACACTGGCTGCCTATTTCATTTAGTTGTATATGGTTTTCTAATTTCATTAGCCATTTCCAGACAGTTGTTGTTAGTCACTCTGTTCATGGTATCCACAGCATAAATCTCAGAAACCACATTTCCACGGTCTCTGAGTTTTTCTTAGTTTGTCATTCACATTCCATGATTCAAAGCCATAAGCAGCACTAGTTCAACATAACATTTCAGTAATGGCAGCTGCAGCGGCAGTGGTGGTGATGATGGTAATTTTTCAAAAATATGCTGTTCAACCCTCAGTGTTATGATCGGGATATATAGTATTAACTGAGTTCTCAGAGTATATATTTGTTATTTTAAATTTATATATCAGGTAATTATTTACACGACCAAAATGTAATTTTATATTGTTTCCCTTTTTACTTTGATTTGGGTTGTGATTATGATAGAAACTGTATTATGAATAATCAGACAATCTTACTAACATTGTGTCATTACCATGGTGGATATATAGTTTCCTTAGTGTGCAGTCCTCAATTTTATGCTTAGGGGAAACTTCTTTAAAGATAGCATGGCCATTCTTTAACTTTCTATATATGAGGGCTGAGTGGTCTCGAGGTATGGTGTCCGCCTCAAGTGCTGGAGGTCCCGGGTTTAAGCCCCGGTGAAGGCTGGGATTTTTTCACGTGGGCTTATAGTAATTTCCCCTGGTCTCAGAGTAGTAAGATCTGACACCCGTGTGTATTGTTGCGCACGTTAAAAAAATCCCTTGGCAGTTGGAAATCTAAAAGAGTAACGGCCCTGCCCGGGCAAAATTTTGAGTTAAAAATCTACCCAAAGTATTTCAGGATCCTCGCCAGTGCAACAGAGTTTTGTTAGAAGAAAAACGGAGCACTTATGGGTTATCACCCATGTGCCATGATATTTATCCATCGAATAAACATAAACATATGGATTTTAGTCCTTGTAATTCATTGAGGTACAAGGTGGAAGAGAAGAAGAAGAAGAAGAAGTCCTACTAATTAACTGAGGTACAAGGTGGAAGAGAAGAAGAACAAGTCTTAGTAATAAATTGCTTGACCTTTCCACTTAGCTCTCTAGGCCTGTCTATGTGCAGTGAATTCTCCATCATCAAAGGTAATAGAAAGAGGATAGAAACCAGATGTCAGAAAGCAAGTGCACTTATATACCAATTGTCACCATTATTAAGACACCCAAGCATAACTATGAGTGCAGAGAGACAGATTATTAATAGCATATTCATTCCAACATTAAGCTACCAGTGCCAAACATGGACACTGTCTAAAGCTCATATATGCAAAATCACCACCTGCGAGATGAGGTGCCTGAGAAAAGCAGCCAACCTAACCATCCAAGATCGAGTGAATAATGAAACTATTGTGGGAACAACACATTGTGCTAGATTCATAGAGAAACAGCATATAAAGTGTTTTGGACATCTCGTTAGAATGCAGCAAGATCAAATACCATCACAAGAACTACATCTCAGAAGATCAGCTACAAGAGAAAGAGGACAGCCGCAGAAAAATGGATCGACAACATTAAAGACATTCTACGCCTTTACGGTATAGCCAGTGGCAGCCAGCGTGCGCTGGATCGCAAGTTATTCCTCCCTTCGACACTTAACAGGCAGAAGTGGTTTATGATGATGATGATGAAAGGTAATTTAGAGAGATTCATGTAGTCAGTTAATGGTTTCCTTTAGTTTTCATATTTTCATGACTTCAGCTCACAGGTCGACCAAGCCTAAAATGGGTACTAGGTAATGTCCGTAGAAGTAAAATGGCAAACGACTAAATATAAAATTGCCTTGCAAAACTGAACAGACAGTAAATGGTGGGTTTGGTCTGCAAAGTCTTGTAAAGGATAGGCAACTTTTTTAAAAACGTTACTGCCTGTTTTTATCGGCGTCTGCAGCTTAGGTTGCTGCTAACACGCACCAACATTCCATGGGTGGTGGGTTCAATCCTAGCTGCTTGTGATGGTTTTAACAGTCATATCAAGGGCTAACCGTTAACAAAGCACTGACAAACTACTGAACGTACAATTGCCTAGTGAAATCACAAAAAAGGCCAAAAACTGCTCAGGTTGGTTCTGCAATGTCCTGAAAAATGCACACACCTAACGTAATTACTACTCAATTGTCTGTACTGCAAATGTCATATATACCTCTAGTGAAAACTTTTTATTCAGATGGGCAGCACTTTTACGAATGACCTCTGCAGTAGCTGTCCCTCCAGTAAAAGAGATTAGCTTGACTCTAGGATGCTCTACCAAAAACCGTCCAGCTGTCCACCCGTAGCCTAATACAATGTTGATGACTCCCTTAGGAACACCTGCCAAAAATATGTGAATCATCAGTAAAACTGTCATTGTTCTTTGTTAATTTCAAGACAATCTTCAGTGCACTGTGGGCATCCCCATAAGTGCTCCTATCTTCTCCAAAGCATATTTGAAGCTTGGTTGGCCCAAGACCTTGGGTTAGATTTTACAAAATCTCAGGGCAGAACACAAAATCACCAAGCGAGCATTCAAGCATATCACCCAGAGCCACAATAACTACTGGTCTAATATTAACAAATTTTAAATTACATTATTTCCAATTCGCCAATGACAAAAAAAAAATGGTTCATTAATTTTGCCTGACTACAAATTAAAAAGGACTACACAGTATAAATGAATATGACTGGTGATTTAAGAATTAACAACACAGCACACCAGGTATACCCATAGATGCTCTGTCTCCCACAGCAAATATCTTAAGATGTAGATGCTGTTTTTGTAGCACACTGATTATACACACTTTCTCTTTCTCTCAATATACACACTTTCTCTTTCTCTCAATATACACACTTTCTCTTTCTCTCAATATACACACTTTTCTCTTCTTCTCATGTCCCTCCTTGCTGAATCGACTCTAATTCCACATTCACACATTCTTACGCATGTCATTTTATCTAATCTCATGTCTTCTACTGGCATTCATTCATAAATGATCTTCCTCCTTTGTCCAGTATGAGTGTTCCTGTGGCTATCGCTTCTGAGGACTCCCCCCCCCCCCCCCCTCCCAAATACTTTCATTCCCTCGCAGTTCTGCATATAACAAGCAGTATATCCATATAAGTCCCCTGTGAAGTTCATGTGCTGATGCATGTTATCCACATTTGTCCATTTTGAAAAGAATCAATAATGTGCATGACCTAGACAAATTATTATTAATCAAGTGGTGATTAACTATGCTGACTTCGAACACGACATTCAATGTGAAAACCAGTTTATACAGCAACTAGTCATCTTTCCTTTGGAACACCTAAGGCAAAGCAGAATGGTGAAACCAAAAAAACACTTTAAGAGAACTTGACAAGGAACTGAGTAATCAAGAACTACAGTGAAAGTCAAGCATAACTGCTACTTCCAGAAAACTGGCACATGCAACAGAACAAGCAGCCACTTGTGAACATATCAGATTCCATGAATATGCTTCAGAAAATTACAACAGACAGTAGGTCGGACTCGACCTCTCTTCTCTTGATCTACACACATAAATATGTTGGAGTAAGGAGTAATGAATGAGCTGACCAACTGGCATGTAATGCATCATTGCAGGGGATATGGACTGAGCTTTAGAACATTGTATGGACTAGATGGGTGGTGGACAATGATCAGACAAGCTGGTATTACAGCACTGCAATTTCTGCTTCATTCAGGCCAAAAATCTTATTTTTGCAAATCCTTAATGAGTTACCATCTACTATCTGTAGCAGCATCCGTGGCGTAGGCGTTGCAAGTCTCACTTGTAATCAATCCAACGTACAGCAGTCGAAACCCACTGCTGGCTACGTAGATTTTTATCATGGTGCGGGCGTCGCAGGTCGACCCAGCTTAAAATGGGTACCAGGATGGCTATCCTGGGGAAGTAAAGACGGCCGACCTAATGCGACCACATTACCCACCTTAGTGCCGAATATGGGCGCTCTTCCCATATGCCCAATATGCCTAAAGGCGTGAAAAGGGATCTTTACTTTTCTTATATGCTTGTTGAGAGGCAGTGGGTCTATTGTGCCCATTCTGCACTGGCTCACCAAATGGCTTGCCGGTAGACGACTTTGTCGCCAGTTGGGACAGTATTTGGGTCTGTCTCCTTTGATCGCATCAACACTGCAAGCGTCCTTTTCAGGACTCTTGATGGCGAGCAATGCTAAGCCATTTTAAATGGTTCACATAACCTAGTCACAATTATAACCAAAAGCTCCCCCTTCAGGTTTGCTGGTTGAATGTGATGATTTTTGCTGTTGTTGAGAAAAGCATTGGATGGGTCTATTCTGCTCCATCTCTCCAAACCCTAATGGGACACCAGAACACACACTGTCAAACTAACTAACAAAACGTTTGTTATTTCTACATGTTGTTGTTCGTCCATCCCGAGTGATGAAGACCACTTTTTATCCAAAGTAGCAATGATCAATGATTATGAGTATGGAGGTGGCTGATGAGTCTGATATGAGCTCAGAAAGTTCTTGAGTAGTACGGACAACAGGTGGAAACCGCAGTAAATGTGGGATTAGTGATACAGTGCTCTCTAGTCTGCCTCTGTTTCTCTGCCTGTGCAACCTGCACTGCCTGGGAGGCCGATGCACCATATTTGAGGAATGTGCACCATCCAGAACAGTCTTGTGCAGCAGCCTCCCATGTCGCTGTGTTGATGCCAAAAGAACTGAGAACAGTTTTGAGAGTGTCCTTATAGCCCTTTTTCTGTCCTCCCTGGGTCCTCTTTCCTTGCTGGAGCTCGCCATATAATACTGTCTTTGGGAGGCGATAGTTTGGCATGCGGGCTAGGTGACCAGCCCAACTCTGCTGATAATTCTTCAGTATCAAGAATTACAGTATCTGGGATTCTATCTTGCCATTTGATTTTGAGCAGCTTTATGAAACAAGTTATACAAAGATGAAGACAAGATATATTTCTACATACCCGCTTGCTGGAAGACTTGACATAACAATTTCGTGGAGGCTGAAGTCAACTCACTGGGCTTGGCCACGACTGTGTTCCCACAAGCAATGGCTGGAGCTATCTTGAAGCTCAGCAGGTAGAGAGGAAGATTCCAAGGACTGATCAGTCCTGCCACTCCTATAGGACACTTGACTGTGTAGCTAATGGCGGAGGCTTCGGCCTGTTCTGCAGATCTTCAGGTTTATTAAAAAAAAAAAACTGTACTAATACGTGATTAGTTAATTCAACATTAGAAATTACTGCCTTTGTCTGTGTATAAGATTATGTTTTCCCAATATTTTCTATCTAAAACTGGGTGTCGTCTTATACACAGAAGGTGTTTAAAATATTTATTTGTAAATTTTGAAATAAAAAAACAGGGGTCGTATTATTAAAGAAAAAACACTGTATAAGGAAGCCACCATGGTGTAGCAGCTAGATGATCGCCTGTGGGCCTGAAGGTCATGGGTTCACATCAGCATCAAGCCTGATTTTTTTTTTAAATTGTAAACTTAACCTGGCTGCCAGGTTGGCCCAGTCTTAAAGGGGTACCAGGTAAAATCATTGGAAATGAAAGTAGCTGGCTTAATCTTGACCATATTATGCACATCAAGTGCCACCTTGGCTAAAAAATATGTGCTTGGCTATACCCAAAATGCTCAAGGGTGTGGAAAAGGGGTCCTTTATTTGATAGAAGTTCTAACTCATAAAGCAGGACGCCATCTTTGCTTTACTCAACAACAACAACAAAGTCATGTTCAGCCAGCATCCCCCAAAGGGGAGAGCTTTTGCTTATAATTGTGACTTGGTTATGTGCGCCATATAAAATGGCTTAGCACTGTTCACCACCAAAAGCATTGGAAAGGACTCGGGCAGTGTTGAATCAATCAAGAGAGACAAACCAAAATACTGTTCGACCAATGACAAAGCCAGCCAATAGGCGACCTGGTCGCGGATGATAAAGGCAGTAAAAACATGGGACAACTAATAGGTGTACTAATGAAAGAGCAGTGACTAACATGCTTTCCTGTCAGTCCTGTGTCCAATGGTTCAAATCTGCATTGTGGTAAATTTTTAAAACATACTAGGCCCTAACTCTTTCTGCTCCATGCAGTTGTTTACTTCAACTTACCATGGCTGAAGCGATAGTTATTTAAAATTAATTAATAGTGCATCTGAAGCGGAACACATAATCAACTTACCAAAAATAAACACTGAACGTAATACATTGCTGGGATATGTTGATTTAAAAAAGAGAAAAATCATAGACAAATCATGGAATGAAGGAAAAAGCTTTCTTGTAAGCACTTACCAACAAACACATGGTACGTTGCTTGGGAAAGAAAGAGCTAAAAATGGTATCAAGATACACAAAGAGGAGTAAACGCAGGCGATTTTAACCACATCACTCACCAATTGCTGATTAATCAATTAATACAGAGAACCAGTGCCTGATTCCTAGTAAATAAACAGTACACTTGTTTCCATAGCGAGTAGCACATGCCATTTGGAGATGGCAGGTTCAATTTCAGGCACGGTAACTACAGCTTTCGAATTTTATATTGTCTAGTGCATCCTTCTATTTTCTACTTCTTTCTATGAGTGCCGATCAATACACTGTCTGTTTGTTTATTATATGAGGCTTGTTTTTTAAGTAAGTCCTGTTTTGACCACATCGACAAACAGCGATGAAAAACATAAGTGTGCATGTACAGTATGTTTATGTTGTTCATTAGCTAGCTGTGTTATTTTTTCACTGTGGAAATCTTGTTTGATGCTGCGTGTGAGTGACTTATAATGAGTGCAAGAATCACAACTCCTGCCAGCTGCCAAATTTGTGCTGTGATCCGTTTTTTTTGGTTACCAAAAAACAACAGTGCTGCAGAAATTAATTTTCTTGAATGTGGAAACACAGTTAAGGCCAAAGCCTATTCTAACACTCTGATAAAACTTAGACGTGCCATCTAAAGCAAAAGACGTGGGTTGCTGTCCTCTGAAATTGTACTTTTACACGATAATGCTCGACCACACGTCGCAGATGGAACTGTTCAATTGTTGCAAACATTTCACTGAGAAATAGTTGACCACCTGCCCTACAGCCCAATCTGGCACCAAGTGATTACCATCTTTTCATGCACCTAAAAAATGATCTGCATCCCAGCGGTTTGAAACAAATGATGAACTGCAGCAGTCGTTAACAAATGGCTCAAGACAATGGTGGCAGACTTCTATAACAATGGAATTAACAACTTGGTGCCATGATACCAAAAATGTGTTGAAGTCAGTGAAGACTATGTTGAGAAATAATGTAACTGTGTGGTATTTTTAATAAATTATTTGTATTTGTGATTTTAAAATAATTTTTTTTCATTTTATACTGGGACTTACTTAAAATAATGTGCCTCATATATATTCCTAGAAGGCAGGCAGTGTTGGTGTCTCTCTTTGTCAGGTCCTATCACCTGACCTGTCTCACTTGTCAGAACCCACTAGTTGGCTGCTTTTTGTATATATCTTGGAGTCGCTGGTGCATGCAAGATACTCTGTCGCTTCAAGATGGTGATGCGAAAGCAAGGCTAATATACTAAGGTGTCCCATAAGTTTCCATCCGTAGGAAAATAAACATTTCACAATGCCATTACAGGTTTGGTTTGGTTGGTTGGTTTGAACAACAGATCAACATCATGGCACATGAGTAGTAAGTAACCCATAAGTGCACTGTTCTACTTCTATCCTAAAGCCTGAGTCCGAAGAATCTTAGTGCAGTGCACGAACTCTGTAGCACCGGCGAGGATCCTGTAATATACAGGTATAACTCGAGCTGTGCTTAAATGTGTTTTTCAACAGTGAAAGATGTACAGTTCAATATGTTTTCAAAATAATGGTTGTCATGTAGAGTATATTATATAAATAAAAGTGGTTTTCATAAGAAAATTTTATTTTCTGATGTATATCTTAATTTATGCCTTTGCATTTAGTTTGCTAAAGTTAAAATTCAAAACACAATAAACGATTTTAATACTACCCTATTAGTAAATGTTTTACTTACATATTTAAATCATGAAGAGAATAAGATGCAAAGTAGCGGAAGTTGTGAATTAAGCGTGGAATATCAACCCTTTTTGCTAACCACACTGGCTTTCCCTGATCACGAGATTCTACCTCTGCAAACTCATCCAATCTGGCCTCAATTAATTCTGCAATTTTCAGCAACAGCTTTGACCTCTGCTCCACAGGTGTTGCTGACCATCTGATAAGAAATAATGTTGTGCTGGCTGTTAAAAACACACTGTTTAAAAACAATGAAAATATTTAGAGTATGTCAATAATCATTGTAAAACAAAATGATAAGATATAAAAGAAATAATTGAAAAAGAAACCAAACTAATGCTTTAAAAAAATTTGGCACAAAGTTTAAAGATTAAAAGATATATACAGCAAAGTGTAGAAAAGAACTCAAAAGAAATAAACCTTCTTAGTCTAAGCTAGGGCAAAGATTTACATGATATTGTAAAAGACCATCAGAAATCTCCACATTTAATTAAAACCAATGCAGAACTAAATATTTCATAAACATACACATCTATGAAACACTTCTGCCTTTCAAGATTATGGTTTTTTATTGTGCTACAGGGAGGCATAAGAATCATAGCCCATGGTAATGGTAAGTATGACAAGTGTGGCAAGAAAGCAAGTGTGGCAAGATAGCAAGTGTGGCAAGACAGCAAGTGTGGCTAGACAGCAAGTGTGGCAAGACAGCAAGTGTGGCAAGACAGCAAGTGTGGCAGGATAGCAAGTGTGGCAAGACAGCAAGTTTGGCAAGATAGCAAGTGTGGCAAGATAGCAAGTGTGGCAAGACAGCAAGTGTGGCAAGATAGCAAGTGTGACAAGATAGCAAGTGTGGCAAGACAGCAAGTGTGGCAAGCAGCAAGTGTAACGCACTTGCACTAAGGAAATTCCATGGTACAAAGTTTTGGCAGTACAATACTGTAGAGATGTTGCGCATACAGCATGTGCCCCCCCCCCTCTTTTTTGGGGGGTAACATCAAAGGTATTGATAATATGATTGGTTGATTTGATTCAAGAACCAACATCACAGCACTCAGGGCATTCCCATAAGCGCTTCGAAGAGTATCGATACTAATGGTGCCAGTAGCATTCTGAATAAATGTCCGTCTTGCCTTTCCTCTGAGCCTCGAGCATCTGCCAAAACCTCTCGTCACTCCCCACTGCATCAATCTCACCAGACTGTGGTGATCCATCTGCTCCTCCAAACTGTACACGCTCTCCCACAAGGCACTAGCCACATCTGCCTTATCATGTATCAGTATTCCACCAAGTTGTAAAGAGCCAGCCAGTCTGTCCGCCTGTTCCTAGGTATTGATAATGTGTTTGGAACAAAGCATGCTGCAGAAGCTGCTGGATCCGAAATGCAGTTCTCTGTACATTTGCCCACCATTGCCTCCCACAGGCCTTCCCTGCCATAAAACATCTAGGTAAAGCAAAAATTATTGTCATTTCCATTCCCAAATGAATAAAGAAAATATTAGCTGCAGTTTCAAAGGATGTCCATTCTCCTCTTTGGGTTCAAACAGTGTGTTTATTCATCTAAGGTTACCCATGACTTCCTTGTCACATGCGCCACGCACACATGTGTGTAATGAACAAAAATACTCAGCAGATTAACACAAACAAAATTAGTGAAATGTTAAATTCACAATGGTTGCTCACAATGGAAACGCTGTCTCTGCAGCCTGTACTGCTTTCTCAACATCATCAGTTGTACTGTTGGCAACTTTAGCCCACACCTGCCCTGTAGATGGATCATAACTGTCTAGGTAATCATCTGTTGGGCTAAACGTTCCATCAATGAAGTTGTCAATCACTTCCAGTCTTTCTGACATTGTGGTCTCAAATACGCTTCCTTTGAATAAACACACACAAATTTATTATCTGACATTTTTAGGATGCATAGTAAAAGGATGACAGAGAAAGGATATGCCAGCCCCTACAAATAGATAATATGAAAATCAAAAGAATGAAAACATATAAGTCTTCTTCTTTTTCTCTTCCACCTTGTACCTCATCGAAGTGTCGGGGGAGGGGGGGGGGGGGGTTTGGTAACATTCATTGATGAGCTCTGTCAAGAGCACTATTAAGACTGATATTCATTTCGGTAAGGCTGTTCTTAATGAAATCACTCCATCTTTTCCAAGGTCTTCCACTAGATCTATACCCGTTGTAACATTTTAGTGTGGCTCGCTGTGGCAGATATTACCAGGGCATTCTAGTTAGGCACTGAAAGCATAGTGCTGGCCAAAAAATAGTTCTGATAAGATTCACTTTAGTTCTCTGGGGTATCTGCTTGTGTGTCAACAAGGGAGATAGCTGCCCTATTACTTGATTAGTTTTGGCACATTTCGAGCTAATTTCTCTGTCCAGTTTTCCATCGGGTGTGAGAACTGCTCCCAAATACTTAAAGTCCTGTTTGTTTTAAGGTGCTATTTTTTAATTTTATTTCTAAGTTGTCTTTCTGTCTTCCTATCACCACTGTCTCTGTCTTTGTAGTGTTTATTTTCTTGTATATAAAACACTCAAAAAACTTAAATGTCCTGTATGGCTCTAAAACCTGGAGTACAACTAAAAGCTATTAAGCATTTTTATAAACTTTTCAGAACAGACTTACGTGACCCATCAAAGATGCACACAGCAGAGAATGGAGAGAGAAGCAGCAATGAAATTCATAACTGTTACTAAAATCATTAGCTTATCAACTGCAATGGTAAGAGCAAACAGAGAGAAGGACGTATAACACAGTGACAAAAACTCCATACACAAAAGAGTTCAATGGGAGTAGATCATGAGGTAGACAAAGAAGACAGTGGAGTGATAATATATAGGTGAACAACCAACAACTGGAGAAAGTCAGTCACAGAGACAAATGAATGTGTGTGACATCTGCAGCAATGAACTTCAAGCACTCGTAGTCCTGAAGAAAAATAAGACAAAGAAGATTTGATGATTGGTTTCGTAGTTCATTTTAGCACTCTTGGCAAACTCATAGATATTCAGTCTCCCTCAGGTAATTTTGTAGGGTGCAGTCGCTATCATTCCACAGCACATTCATTGTAAGCCCATAAAATACATACGCGGATAGGAAGGTCGTTGATTGGCTTCGTGGTGGAGCCGGACTTTTTTCAAAAATGACTTTGACTCCCAAGTCGATCCAACCTTGAATGGGTACCAGGTGCAGTCCCGGGAATTAAAAGCGGCCGGCGTGATGCTGACCACATCACCCATCTTGTGCTGACTGGTCTATAAAAAAAATAGGTCTAGCCCTATATGCCCTATACACCTGAGGGCGTGGAAAAGGGACCTTTATTTACAATAAAATAATCCCCCCATACACGCTTCCTTGCTCTAGCCACACTTAAAACTAAACTGTAGCATATTTAAATATTCTGTGTCATCGTGTGTTGTGTCTTCAGCTAGCAGTCAGTTATCAATTCAACATTTTCCTCTCCATAATGAAAGTTAGCTGCAACTGATCTTATCCTTGCATCCAAACCATTCTTAATAAGGTATGCACTTGAACAAATTAATGCTTCCAATTGAACTTCAACCTCTGATAAAAATGAACCACTCATACTATATATAATTACCTGATATATAAATATATTTTTTAAATATATATATATATATATATATATATATATATATATATATATATATATATATATATATATATATATATATATATATATATATATATATATATATATATATATATATATATATATATATACTAATAGAACTCAATTAAAACTATATATCTTAATTGGTTAGTTAACCTAACAATTTTAACCCTAAGGGCTGAACAAGATATTTCTGAAAAAATACTACTGTAAGTCGTACTATAACTAAAGCTTTTCAAACAAAATAAGAAATAAAAGTAAATAGTATCTGGCCTGGCCAGACAGTAGATTCTGTTTTATTTTCTAAACCTTAAAAGGACAGTAGGCAGGTTGTGTTGTTGTTTTTACAGCTAGGCTGTAATATCTGCATCTTTCAGCCCAACACATCCAATTTCAATAAAACTCTAAACAGTTGCTTATATGACATGCTTGGTGGGTGGCAGTGGATCTACCCCCCTCCCTTTTTCCCCCACACAGATTTGGGGCTAAGAAAACCATACGCAAGTGGGATTAATTCTTCTTTGTAAGGTGCTGTTTATCTCTTTATGTCAATAATTTTTACATCTTATTATATATTTTTAGTCATTTCTATTCTGAGCAATTCTGTTTGATTTCTAGGTAGGTAGGTAGTTAGGTAGGTAGGTAGTTAGTTAGGTAGGTAGGTAGGTAGGTAGGTAGGTAGGTAGTTAGTTGTACCCCACCAGGACATCTCAAAAGAGATAAACACCCGGTGACACAAAGTGCCACCATGCAGATGAGGATCACTCGTGGTGAGGTACCCGAAACCAAGCTCAGCCGTTCGGCCATATTAATTATCTATGGCCAGGCCATATCTATGCCCCGGCTATAACCAGGGTCTCCGGCAGAAGCCAGGGTGGGGATTCGAAATAACAAAAAAATTGCATCTTCATTACTTGATTTCTATTTTACCTCTGTTATCATCGTTAAGTCTAGTAGTACTATTTCCTGACATTTTAGGCTTTATAAAGACAAAGTAACAATCTTAACAATGAATAGCTTACTAGCTTTATAAAGGCAAAGTAACAAAAATAATCATGGAACACAATGTCTTGTGTGTATCTTTTTTCCAAACACCACAGCATGCGCAATTTTTTTTTCTGGGTGAAAGGTGAAAGTTCATAAGGGTCGCACAACAATGTAAAGGGGTTAGCTACCATAAAGTTGGCTGGGCCACGGCCTTCTCTATTTATAGGCCAACTGGGTCAACGGGAATTCCCGTTCTTGTGCAACTATGTAATCCCTATGTGTTAATAGTTTACATCGAGGAGTTGTATATACAAATTAAACTACAGTTTAATTAATTTGCGATACATTTTATAGAACTATATGTCATTTTGAAGGTAAATAAGTGTGATATTAAATATATAAATAAAGGCTCTTACGGACAAACAAAAATGCTTTTGCTACAGTAAACATGAACATAAACATCAGTAACGTATAGATATAAACTTCAAGGTATTCCAGCAAAAGTAAATAAATATTAGTGCAAACTCTTTGGTTCTGAGAGGATTTCGCATTGGAGGACCCGTAAGGGGGGGGGGGTGGTGACATTCGTACTTTATCAAGCTTAGCACATGAAAATACTGTTGTGAAACATACACATACCATACAGGACATAAATAGAAATGACTGATGGTTATTATTACTATTAGTTGACTACTACAATATATAATTATACTGTTATTTAATAATTAGTAAACAAGCACAGTCAATATGAAATTGATATGTGCAATAATTTTTTCAGCCACAGCAGTTTTCTTAGCAGTATTTATAGCACTACTAAAGATTTTTCCTTAAGGTACAAACAGCACAAACAAATTTGTTCAGTTTTATCTTGTTGGATGAAATCGGCTCCTTATCATGTTGAATTTTTGGGTAACTGTTGAAAAATACATCACACATATTTCTGAATACTGCATGCAACAACGCATATAAGTATCATGAATGGTATATTATTTAAAAGGTAATTAAAGCAAATTAAAAAAAGATACCGGGTCTCGTTGTTCAAAACAGTGTCTGGAAAAAGACTAAAGCCCAGAAGTAGATGAACAACCAAAAGTTTCTGCCAGAGTTTACAGCCAGTGTTCGTGAAGCAGAAGACGATTCACAAAAATTAACACAGACCATACAACTCAAATATGCATAAGAAGTAGATGAACAATCAGAAGTTTCTTGCCAGAGTTTACAGCTAGTGTTTGCGAAGCAGAAGACAATTCCCAAAAATGAACAAAGACCTTATAACTGCAAATATGCACAAGAAGTCGATGAACAACCATAATTTTCTGCCAGAGTTTACAGCCAATGTTTGCGAAGCAGAAGACGATTCACAAAAATTAATACAGACCATACAGCTACAAATAAAGATAAGACGTAGATGAACAACCAGAAGTTTCTGCCAGAGTTTACAGCCAGTGTTCGCGAGGCAGAAGACGCTTCACAAAAATGAACACAAATGGTTGAGAAATAATATTTGTGTACTTCTACAACATAATTATACTGTTAGTCAACAATTAGTAAAGAGGCAAAGAGTGACTTGCTGTGAGAGATTAGTTAGTCAATATTGTCTTCATCCACTTACCCAGAGCTCCGAAATACCTTGACACAATTTATCCACAGTGTAGTTGCACCATTTATGCACAGTCAATATGAAAGCAATAGTTTTCTTTCAACACAAGATAGTTTGCACCTGACAACTGTCGATATTCTCCAGATATGGCTTCTGAATTACCTGTTTGTATTTTCCCCAAAAGTAGGATTTCCACATTCAAAGTAGAAAAAGAATAAACAGCCAATTCCAAAAAATCAAAATTACTGTCTAGACGCAGTGACACACACATCTCATCACGACTGTCTTCCGTGAATTTAAATTGCTGTAAACTAACAGCAAAATTTGAAAATCTTGTATATCCACCTAACAATATCGGCTGTCGATTTGTAATACGAATACATTCAGAACACAGAACTTTGTAAGCACATTAAAATGTCACACAATGCAACATGGACACACTTCCACTAACCATTTTTCAAGGTGACCTCGCCAAAATGTCACCCAGCCTAAGGTCACAGCTTGGCTTGCTTAACCACCCCCCCCCCCCCCCCCCCCCCCCCCCCCCCCAATCGTAACATTCAACTAGCAATACCTAAAGGGGAGCTTTAGGTTATGATCGTGACTATGCTATGCACCCCAT